GGTGGGGGCGTGGGGGGCGGGCTTCCCGGGCGCCGCCAGGCGCGAGTCACTTCCGGTGCCCTGACCTTTATAGGAGTAAACAGACCCCCGCCGTCCCGCCTCCCCTCCTGCCCAGGTGACTGCCTAATCCCGTGCTGGGGACACTCAGCCGGCCGGGGTTCCTCGGCCGCGGGCGGGCTGCGCGGGGTCAAGTAGGGGCCGCCCGAGGGAGGCCCGGACTCGAGGTCCTGCCCCCACTGCTTGGCCCCGCGGGTGCTCCGGGCCGCTCCCTCTCCAGCCGGGGCCTTGCGGGGTCCGCCGGCGACCCCCGTTTTCCTCGCGCGGGCAGGCCGCCTGCAGCCCGAGCCGCCGCGGGGCTGGCGTCTGACCCGGCTGTGGTTTTTCCAGGCCTGAAGGCCCCGGAGTGCGCCGGCGGCATGTACAAAGAGACGGTCTACTCCGCCTTCAACCTGCTCATGCACTACCCGCCGCCCGCGGGAGCCGGGCAGCACCCCTCGCCGCAGCCCCCGCTGGTAAGTGGCCCCGCGGCCAGCGTCCCCCTGTGCCTGCTGCCTCCCTGAGCAGGTGGGTGAGGCGTGAGCGAGAAGAGACTTTCGCCTGAGACGAAGTAGATGGAGGACAACTCGGTGCTGGTCTCTTTTCCCATGCACACCCAGTGGGCTGTGAACCAAAAGGAGAACTTTGCAGAAGGAAGGAGGGGCCGCCCTTGGGCACCCCCAGCCCTCCTGCTGCTGGCGTTTGTCTTCCCAGCTTGCTCACAAGCAGGTGCAGGCCCTGTCTTGGTGCTGGGTGACGTCCGGGTGGGGTCTTCTAGAACTGTTGAGCTGAGAGCACCTCCGCTCCTGAGGGTGGCGTGTTTGGTGTGATCTGAGCTCAGAGCTTTGCAGGCAGCTTTCTCCCAGGAAGCCCTGAGCCTCCACGCTCGGGGGAATGGGCAGAAAAGCTGAGCCGTTGAGGCCTCCTGGTTGTGCAGAAGAAACACGCTCTCCTTGGCTGGGTCTTTACTGGCACGAGCACGCCCTTGCCAGGGAAGGAGCCTGAACGCCATGTGTGGAGAGCAGCTTCTTAGGAAGCTGCCTTGCTCTCAGACACATCAGGCAGGGTGTGCAGAGGTGCTGCGAGTCAGTGGCGTCAAGAAGGGGCTAGTTTAATAAATTTGCGAATTAAATCTTTTTAAGTATCCCGTAAAGACTTTTCTAGATACTTAGAAATCTTAGAAAAGATTTTCATGGTCGTTACAAACTATGCTTTTTTGCCCGTTGGTGCAGATGACCTAGAATGTGAAGAGCCCATTCTAAGTGCTCTGGAGCGGTGTAGCTTCACTTTGAAAGAAAGTCCCTACAGGTGTTTCAGATTGTTCTCAGTTGGGCCAAATAGGGGTGAGAGCGCAGTGGAAGGTTTGGAGGACTCTGGTGGGCAGGTGTTAGGTGCAAATGTCAGCCCAGTGCTGGTTGGGCCGGGAGGCTAGAGGGTTCGCAGGGCTACGGGGGGGTCACCGAGAGGAAGGAGAGAGTGGCTGCCAGGTTGTTCAGGAGCCAGGAGGGTGTTCTCATAGTGCTTCGTGCCGAAGCTGGTGGGAGGGAAGAGGACATGCAGGCTTCTCTCCAGAAACCCAGGATGGAAGACCTAGTAGATGGCTGGCTCTAGAAATGAACTCCTCGCCCTTTGGACTTCCGTTTTCTCATCTGTAAAACGAGCACGTTGGCCAAGGGGTCAGTCTGACTTTCCCGCTCTGGGGTGGCTTGGTACAGGAGGTGGTTCACTTCTTTCCAAGTCTGGGAGAGGAGCCTTGCCCCCGGCCCTGCTACCCGATGTGGCCGCTCTCCCCACAGAACTGCCCTGCACAAGCGGGCGCTTGACGGATGCTTTGTGGATCCCCCGCAAGGTGTCAGCCCTTAGATGTGGGACCAGGCTGACGTGTAATAACTCACCACTGCCGGATCACCAGCGGGTGAGCCGCTTGGACAGGGGCTGGGGTTAGGCAAAAGGTCCAGGCCCATAGCTCCGTGCTCCAGCCTAACAGTACTGCAGAGCGGCGCAGAGAAAAGGCGTCGTTTCAGACGAGAGTCATCTCATAGTGTGGGCAAGTGCTGGGAGAGTGCCCAGAGCAGGGCACTGGTTCTGCTGGAAGGGTGTGGGTGATGGGGACCATTTGGTGTCCTTTGGCTCACACTAGTCCAGAGTAGGCAAATGGTGGGCTCTGACAGTCAGGGAGGTTGGAGGAAGGCACACCACCGCTCACCTGGCCCCAGGTCATTTTTCAACTTCAGGTCTCTTTCAAGCTACAGCAGATGCATTTCTTTTCTTTCTTTCTTTTTTTTTTTTTTTTTTTTCTTACTCTGTAGCCCAGGCTAGAGTATAGTGGCATGATCATAGCTGGGACTATACGCATGCACCCACCATACCTGGCTATTTTTTTTTTTTTTAATAGAGATTGGAGGTCTCTCTGTGTTGCCCAGGCTGGTCTCGAACACCAAGCCTCAAGCAATCTTCCTGCCTTAGCCTTGTAAATTGTTGGGATCCCATGTGTGAGCTGCTGCGCCCAGCCCAGCAGGTGCATTTCTGTGTATCATGCCCTGTTTTATAGGTACCCATTCCCTTGCCGTCCTTGCAGAATCCAAGCTGCAGCCCCCACTGTGTGGCTTCTGAGAACAGAGGAGGAGGAGAACAGGTTTTGGGACTGACTTTCTGTGCCCTGCCCCAGCTTCTCTATGCGGCTGGGGACAAGAACAGAGGCAGGGGTCTAAGCTGGAGGGGCGCTGGGTGAGGAAGACATATGTGACTGTAGCGAGCCTCCGTTAAGCAAACCTGGTGTTACAAACACACGGCACGTAGGAGTAGTTGCTTGCATTACCTGAAGAGTCGTGTGGACATTGAAAATATGGTTGGGTTTTACAAAGTGAAATGGATTGACCCCATGTTTTGGGAGCACATTTATTATCTGATTCAAGGTTCATGTGTCTGGAACTAGGAAAGAGCCTCTTATCGAGGGTCAGGAGCCCCTTGAAAGGGCCCTGAGGAGAAGCTGCCTTTGGAGGTTTCTCCCAAAGCTGGCCCCTTCCCCAGGCCCATCTTTACAGGACAGACAGCGTGCTGCCCGGCCGCTGGCCACAGGCCTTACTCTAGGCCCCCTTGCCCTGTGCCCACCCTCTCTGAGGACACCCAGGTGGTCAGCAGTTGTGCTGAGATGCCCAAGGCCAGTCACTGGACCTCCCTGGATAGCAGGGGACACACACACACTTGGGACTTCCTCTGCCCATGCTGGGTGGGATGCCCATGTGGTTGCCACATTGGAGACCTCAGAACAGGCCGACTGAGACCTAGCCAGGAGCAATGGGCTAAATGACCCCCTCCCAGCCAGCTGCCATGGGACAGATATTTTTTTTTTCTAAAATGTTTGCTGCTTTTTGGTATTTGGCTTCTTTTAAGCTTTGTTTGAGGAAGAGGAAATTAGGGGAAAGTGTATTCCATGACCAGTGTTTGTCAGGCATCTATGCAGGCAGTTCCTGGCCGGGACGAGTCACCATTGCTCGTTTTTGTTTTGTTTTCTCTGCTTTGAGACCTTGGACTGGGTGGGGGTGGGGAGCTGGTCCTTGGCTGTTCTTTGGGGGGATTCTGGGATGAGTAAGACATGGTCCCCTAGGCCGAGCCAGGCTCTTGGGAGGGTCGGACTGCCAGTCTGGCCGTGAGAGACACCGTTGCTCCGTGGCCCCTTCTGTGGGCTCCGCTTAGAGCCTGTGGCCCGGACGGGTGCTGAGCCTTCGCCGTTTAGATGAAACATCCAGCACAGACAGATCCACAGAGACAGAACGTAGGTCAGTGCTTGCCAGGGGCTGAGGGAAGACGGGCTTGGGGAGTGGCTGCTGGTGGGGATGGGCTTCCTTTGGGGGTGACGAGTGTGTTCTGGAATGAGGTAACGGTAGCCGTCGTACAAGCTTATGAATACGCTGAAAGCCGCTGAATTGTGTACTTTACAATGGTGTATTTTATGGCATGTGAATTACATCTGATTTTAAATTAAAAAGCTGAGGCCTCTGGCCATTGCAGGGACTTGGGGGCCACATTTCCCTGTCGCTGATCTCACAGCTGTCCTGGTAGCTGGGCTTGCCCCACGCCACCGTGGAGCCTCATTGAGGCAGCAGACTCACGCCTGGGCTCCTGGCTGTCGAGCTCACCTTCCCTGAGTCCGCAGTCGAGGTCCAGGTGAGGGCTCTGGGAATGAGCCCGGCGGGGGCGGGGCAGGAGGTGAGGGTCTGAGCAAGACCAGCAGAGGAAGGAAGTGCTGCTACCGCCGCACCGCCAGCCCGCAGGGAGCTTGCAGAGAGGAGCATGTGCAGGAGCGCCCACCCGCCCTCCGCAGCCCCCCGAGCGCCGGGCGTGGCTGGGAAGGGTCGGGACGGCAGAGCACTGCTCCTGCTTGGAGTAGAGCCCCGTGAGAGGGAGTCTGGCACCGGGCTGTGTATCAGGCACTGGACACTGGTCCTGGAACGAGGCTCCGCCTCTGGGAGTGCCCAGCTCAGCAGAGGAGACAGATGAATAGACCCGAACCAGGCACTGGCTGGGGAGTTGCTGTCACAGAGGCATCCTGGGGAGAGCGGGCCCGCCCGGGCTGTGAGGAAGGGTCCCCTGAGAAGCATCCTGAAGGCTGTGGGTTGTCCAACAGATGAAGACCAAGGAGGGACTGGCAAGCACCTGGGCTTCCCTCCAAACACACCCAGATCTTCCCACTTTTCCACGTCCATCAGCACGCCCGAGCCCAAATTATCGCTGTCTCCCACTGGGGCAGCACCAATAGCCTCCTGCAGGGGCCCTGTGCCCGCACCCTAACCCATGATGCAGGCTTCATATAGCAGCCAAAGGGGTCCTTTAAAAACATAAATCAGGCCGGGCGCGGTGGCTCACGCCTGTAATCCTGGCACTTTGGGAGACCGAGGTGGGAGGATTGCTTGAGGCCAGGAGTTCAAGACCAGCCTGGGCAACATAGCAAGACCCCCATCTCTACAAAAAATAGAAAAATTAGCTGGGCGTGGTGGCACACATGTAGTCCCAGCTACTCGGTCGGCTGAGGCAGGAGGATCACTTGAGCCCAGGAGTTTGAGTCTGCAGTGAGCTGTGATGACGTCACTGCACTCCAGCCCAGGCAATAGAGTGAGACCCTATCTTAAAAGAAACAAGCAAAAACATAAATCAGATCACGTCTCTTACCCGATTAAACCCTGAAGTGGCTTCTCATTGCTCTTGGAGTAATGTCCAAACCACTCAACACAGCTTGAGTACCTAGGTGGCTGGCCCCTGCCAGCTGCCCCTTGTCATTTACACCATCCGCTTCCTCTCTCCCTGACAGCAGCCACCTCCCTGCCCTGGGGGGGTCTTACAACCAGCAAGTTCTTTCTCACCTCAGGACTTTGCATTTGCCCGTGGGCTTGGGATTCTCTTCCCCACCTCTTCACAGAGCTGCCACCGAAGGGTTCCTCATTCAGGGCTTAATTCAGATGTCACCTCCTCAGACCGT